GGGGGAGCACCTCGGGGTCCGGGGGTCACCTCAGAGTTTGGGGGGCACCTCAGGGTTCCGGGAGGGGGGGCACCTCTGGGCCAGCGCCGCAGCCTCGCCAAGCGGGGCCCCGCCGCAGCCAGGAAGGGCAGGGCGGGCACGGGGCGGGGAGCCGAGCGCTGGGCTCGGACACCTCCTGCTGCCCTCGCCCCGGTCAGGGCATCCCCGAGGGTGTGCGGGGGCCGCCCTCTTTGCCGGGGACCGCTCCGCGGCTCCGTGCCCGTCTCCAGCCCTGCCTATACCCGAACCTCTCGCCTCCACCCTGCCCCGCTTCCCTTCTCGCCACTCCGCAGTGCCACTCGGCTTGGATACCTCTGTCCAGGGCCCATGCTGTGCTTTTTCCTTGTTACAGAGCTGTCATAAACAGTTTAGCGCTGAAAACGGCTTATTTCAACATACAGCCCCTGTCGCTGTCTCTGCGCTGTCGGCAGCTCTTTCCCTCGCACCTAGGTGGCTTTGGAGGAGGTGGGCTCCTCCAGCACTGCTGTAGGCAGTAGGAACAAACAATTATGCCTAAAACATTTGTGTATCAGGTCTCAAATGCCTTATTTAGAAAAAAAAAATTAAAAAATATTAAGGACTTGATATTAGCTTTCCATTAATACTAGCAGAAATTATTTTCTCACATCTCCCTTTTCATTCCTGCAATCAACAGTTCTATTTTCCTTCCTCAGTTTTTCAGACTGAAAGATCTGTGTATTGACACGCTGAGAGAGACAACTCTGTTTCAGTGATAAATGAGTTTCAGAAGAGTTGTAAATTCAAGCTGCAACTCTCTTGAATTTGGAGGACTCCCTCTCCATCCACTTTCCACCTGGCAAGACTTGCATAGTAAGTAAACAGCTTTGCTTATGTTCTTTGAAATTAAGACAGATTTTCATTTTTACCAAGAAATTGCAATCCAGGCAGAATGGTGGTTGGATCTAGTATGTTTAATACAACTGTTTGTTCAATGTTTTTGTTTTCTTCAGCAATGCTGTGCAGATTATGGCACTGTGAGGTAGTAATTAAAAAATACTTAAATTCCACAAGAAGACATTCTTAAAGAGGAAAGACTAGTTCCTTCCTTTCTCAACCCCAAGATGACTGTTAGAACAGTCACATATTCAGAAGAATCTGTTGTGTTTTTCTTAAAAAAAGGAAGTCACAATCCTTTAGGACCTGAGTTTTCCAAAAGTGTTGATCAGAATTAGTTATTTGTCCAAAATTGAGGATCAATCACTTCTATGTATCAGCCCCATTTAATTCCAAAACTTTCTAGTGATTCTGGAAAAGTGGGGGATAATTTTAATGCTGCAAAATTTTCTAATTCATGAGACATTGGTAATGCATTTTACAGAATTTAAACTTTTGGTTTGTTTAAAGTTTTTGTTGGTTTCAGAGTGGCACAAGCATTTTTAAGAACCATATTTTATTATTAAAACTCCATCTGTGGTTTTAAACTTGTGTAAATGAAAAAAAAAATACTTAAAGTTATTGTCACTTTGAGCCTTATAGACAACTTATCGTTTAATCAATTTTCATCAAAACTGTCATTTCCCTCTATTGCCTTAACATTTTGCCCATTAGTATTTCTGTACTCCTTTATAAGGCAGAGAATTTTTGCTTTTACTTTAAAATAACTCTCAACTTCCCTCCCTTTTTCCCTCCTCTCCTAATTTTTCATTGAAGGGTACTCAAACTGTATGACTTAAATGTAAAAACTTTTAGCCTACAGTAGAACAATTTCAGATAAATTGATCAGGTTCAACAGCAATGAGAGAGATTAAAGATTAAGGTCCTGTGTCTTGATTTTTAGTAGTCATGAATCTCAAATCTGGTCATTACTAAGTCACTTCCATTATACTGTGTGCATTCAACCAACCTTCCACTGTGTGCTGATGTGATATACCAAAAAAAGAAGTGGATTTAGAATTAAAAATCTGGTGTTAGATGACTCTGTCTTTATGTAGTCTTGCAGTCTCTAACAGCTGTATTTCTTCTGAACGTGATAGGATAGAAAAGGAAAACAAAATTCAAGAAATTAAAGAGAGAGGCCCTTCTTTCCTTAGGAAGTGTAGGAGTTTGAATCTCCATGTGTAATAAGGAACTGAAATTGCTTGTTTCAGAACTCAGCATCCAGATTCTTTTAGCTTTCTAAATCTGGCACTGCCTTCCAGTCTTTCTGAAGAAAGGGATGTGAAACACTTCCTTCATGTCCTTACAGTGCTTTAAGGGGTGATGGCACACTTGTAAAGAACTGAGACAAAGGGTAAGAGAGGGAGAGCAACTACACCATTTGGTGTCCTGGAATACTGCTGGAAATGCAGTAGCCTCCTGCCTCCAGACTTTTCATGTCACAGGAACTTTCTGACTCTAAATCTTAGTCTCTTAAAGTTTGTGATTTCTCAAATTGCAACAGGTTTACTTAATAAAAAAGAAATGGATTGCTAATGAGGTTTCTTTTGACACATCTCTCTGATCTCGGCAGAAAGTCTTGTGTGTGTCTTATTTGTCCATCCCTGTTTGGATCACACCAAGCAAGGTTATCTGTTTTGGGCTCAGGAGCTGAACTCAGCTGATTGTGTATCTCACCTGTCTGTTTTGTAAGCAAGACTGAGAGTCTCAGGAGAAGCTCTGTTTTTGGCTGCTGTTCTGAGGAACCTCAGAAGGTGCTCCAAGCTGGTCTTATTTAGCGGTGTTTTTCACTTGCCTTCAAAATCTGTTGTCTACACATGTAGCAACTGAATATAGGCTGCTTCATGTCCTCCCCTCAGTGGAAATGTTAGCACTCTCAGCTGGACCTTATTGCCCCCACAGATAAAATGGTGAAAGAAATTGCATGTTTCATTGTTTTCGAACAGGCTCAAAGTTAGCCATCAACATATCCAATCTACAACATTGTGCTGTTCTCATTGAAGGCAGTGGAAGTTTCCACTAGCTGTTTCAACAAAGTCTAGCCTAGCAAAGCTTATTCTCTTTGTGGAGAAAAAAATCACTGTCCTGTCCTGTGGTAGGTATCTACTGGCTTGGGATTTGAATGCTCTTGTAATACTGCAAAATGCATCCATTAAATAAGAAAATGGAAGAAGGAAATCCTGCAGTACTTTCTGAACTTGAAATGAAATTGCAAAGAAAAATGTATCATCATACCTGATGTATGAAAATAGCTGTTACGATAAAAATATGTAACTTCCCACTTGGAAAGCCCTCTTCATCAGCAAGCAATAGGTACACTGCTCACATGCTCAAAGGAACCTGTTTCACTGCACTTGTGCTGAACTGTGAATCTGTTTTTTTTTTTTTTTTTATTTTTTTTCTTAGGCTTTCAGAAGAAGCAGGAGCAATTAAATTTAGAGTTTTTTTGGCAAAGAAGTGAGAACTCAAGAAAATGACTCTCATTATTTTTTTTGTAATGTTGATCACGGAATCTGCCACTGGTAAGTAAAAGTCTTCAATTCAATAATAGAATCTTCAAAATATATGCCAATTTCTTGACAGTTGCTTGGAATAGGACAAGTTTTGTGTTTTGCAGCCAAGAACAAAAACTTAAAAGTTTGGCAATTACAGCCCAGCTCCAGACTTTGGAAATTGGGTCCCAGACACCAAAATTATGCAACGAAAAAGCAAGGGCAGAGAGAAATTACCTGGAGAAATCTGATGACATAGCAGTCATGGTATGTGACCTTGACTGTATGAAGAGACATAGCAAGCAAGAGAAAGAGTCCGCTTCTTTCTGTGCCATTCAGAAGTGTGGGCACAATAGTAACTAAACAACAATAATCTCTGAGAACCTCAGGAAGAAGAGAGACTGAAGGGTGATTTTATTTTTGACTCTAAATGCTAGATCATGGTTCCTTTTCTGTACTTTTAATGACTTCTGTATGCAAAAGTAAATCTGGGGAATATAGGAAGTCAGACTTGAAGACTAAATTTTACACACCCATTCCAAGGCACCTTTCCAAAGATACCTGAAGTTGCTCTGAAATATATCTACATAATGATTCAGTTTTAATTAAGAAGATAAGGAAATACAAATGTTAATTTATAGGATCTGTGCTTTTATTTCAGACATATTTGTCAAGTCAAACCATATGTGAAGAATTTTTCCTTTGCTCTTCCATTTGTGACAACTGCTTCACTGTAGAGTGAGGCCAGATTCTGCCCTTTGAGCCAATTTGATTCTGACACTGTGGAACTCATGTGAAATCATTACAGAGATAGGGAAATGTCCTTTTATTTTCAGACCCCTTTTCCTTTTGGTGTTGCTTTCATAACATAAAGGCCTGGAAAACATTTTCAGTAAATATATATAAATATATATGAAAAGTTTTTCAGTAAATATTGCAGGAATAAATAAATGCTTCCAGACCATTTTTCTGAAAGAAGTATTTTTATAAAATACCAGCAGCATAGCAAATAACTTTAAAGTCAGTCTAATACAATTTTCTGAAATAAATACTTGGCTTCCTAATGTGTCTTTTTACCCCTTTCTCTAAAGAGAAGCTGTGTCCCCTTCGTGCCTCCATTGATGTTCTAGAAGGGGAATATTTTTTCCTTTGTTATCTTGGGTCAAGACAAGAACATTTTCAGGAAGAAGCGTGCACAATAACCTGGTACAAAGAAAGTGCTGGAAAGCAGCAATTGATAAAGGAAACACACAGAATTGTTTCACAAAAGAATTTTTTGGAGTTTTGGCCAGCTGAACTCAGTGACTCTGGGAATTATTCTGTCATTCACAGGTGGGTACACAACACAATGGGTAAATGTGTTGCCTGTGCACATAGCTATGATTAAGTTAATTTCTTTGTCTTGTTTTTTAAAGCTAGTGGCATCCATATAAAAGGAGCTTAGGGAACTGCATAACTGCAGTGTCATTTCCAACTTTCACAATAATTATCAAGATGGACCTGCAATATTTGCAAATATCTATAAGGAGTTTCAGCTTTTTAAATGTTCTGTAAACCTTTTGATAAGGCAGGTAGCATTTTTTTTCTGGCGTGTGATTAATTACCTAAGCAAAATGAGTGGCAGGCAACTCTTCTGTCCTCTGCCAAGAAAAAGAAAAAAACTGCTTGTCTTCTTCCCCAGACTTGTGCTTGCTTGCTGTGTTGAGTGATCTCATTCTATGAGGCTTGCCAAATCATCGAACTTTACAGTAAAGACTAAATATAGCATAACTGAACTCTGCTTGGCCTGCATGGAGCCATTCAAAGAACAAATGAAGTAACTGGATTTGATTTTTCACTGCTGTAGAACATCATGGGTGAAAAGGAGAAATAAGGATGTGCCTCCATTATTTGGCTGCAATCTTCATTGGAAAACCATGGAAGACTAAATTACTACATCAAATTTCTTATGACTAGCACTAAACCCATAATTCTGCATTTACAGTTGAAACAATGATCCATTTGAAGCAGATTACTTTGCATGTAGTGATTTGTGCTGTTGTCCAAGTAATACTTTTAAGCTTCTAGCCAGGTTTGTAAATGATGTGGGACTGTGGATACTGAAAAATGCTCTCCATGTTTTTCTAGAAAAATTGCAGACTCAAGCTTGATAGTTTATAGTTCTAAGCTAGACTTCAGTTCTTAACTTCCAGGTCAACTTGGAAGCTGAAAATGTCTTTTTCTTTTTTTTTTTTAATGTATCATTACTGTTATCTTCTTACTGATATTATTTTTAAAAGTACTTACTCATGGTATATGAAATGCAAAATATTTGTAGCTATATGGTAAATATTGAGAAAAATTTTATTCATATATATTCATCTTTTATTCATTCAAGAGGATTTTCTTTAGGGATGGTGAATAGGTTAGTTTATCTAGTTATACAGTTTTGTTTTGTTGATAAGTTTTCTGTATGGTCACTTCACAAAAAAAACCTATTAAATCTAAAAACTGTCTCTAATGCCATCTAATCAGTGGCACAAAATGCAGACTGACTAATTTTGGCAAGAGGAAAAATGGGTGGAGATCACACCTGAATTGCGAGGCTACTGAAGGAGACTGACATAAGGAGTCTAAAATACAGGACAAAAGAATAAAGAGCTATGATAACCTCAACCTTAATTCATGATCATTGTGGTTTTCTGATTTTTTAAGGTCTTGGGGTAATGACAGTAAACCCACAGTAAACCACAAGAATTCTATACAAAATATTATGAAAAAGTGTAAACCTCAAAACTGAAGGAAACAGCCTTACATACAGAAGAAGGAGATGACAGGAAAAGAACTAAAAAAAAAAAGGAAAAGAACTAAAGTAAAACTATTAGAATGAAATTTGTTAAAATGAGAAATTGTTGGAAACCACAAAAATGTCAGAATACTTTATGAAATTTCTTGATTTACTTGTTTGCTTAAGAGAGAAACTCAGAAAAAAAAAAAATTGATTACATCAAAGCATTCATTTGGAATTAAGAGTTTTGATTTTCTCCTTTTTTTTCTTGTCTTCTAGAACTATGTTACCGGCTACATTTTAAAAATCAGTTTTGAAAGAAAGTATTTTTATGCTGAAACATCTTTCTTTTAATTTTTTTTTTTTAATAATTTTAGATTTTTAAAAAAAAAATAATTTTTTTTTTCTGTTAGGCTCATATGGGTACTCATTTTTCTGTTAGGACCAGAATGATGCCAGAATCTTGCAATCCTCCTGTAGGAAGTCTTCACAGGTCTCACTGCTGGAACAACAGACATAAAGGGATTTTTTTAGTGGGATTTTCATGGGATCTTTGGCTTAGTTTATATGATAGTTCTCACTATTGGCAGGCATATTAAATGAGTTACATTTCAGCAAATACAGAAGATTATTGCAAAAGCTGCTTTCTGCAGAGACAGAGGACTTTTAGAAGTCTCTATGGGGAAAAACTGTGGGCTGTTGTGAACTACTGGACTTGTTTAAGATTTAATAGGAATGACTGATTGAAGTAATTCATTCAAATTCAATACTCATTAATTTCAGAGTATTTATAGTAGGTTAAAAGTTTTACTTTTGAAAGAAGATATCCTAAGTATATTTTTATTTATCTTTTTAATTTTCAGCTGGGAAATAATTCTCAGAATACTTATAACTGTTTAGGCAGTTTCAGGGAACAATGTGACAATTACATATACTGCAGATTTTCAAGAAAGAAGACAACATGTTGGTAGATTTTGCAAACTAATTAAATGTAGGATTTTTTTTCTGATGTGTTACAACTGACAATATGCAAGTGATGTTAACATCACAAGAAAGTGATGGTAACAATGTTTTTGTGGTGTTTTAACCATTTATTTTTTGCTTAAAGTGGGATCAGAAGTTTTACAGTTAAACCTGAAGTGTCTTGCTGAGAAATACACAGACAGCTGAAGTGTGCATATGTGTGTGGTGATGTGGTCACGTGTTTTTTAGTACACTAGACTTAGGATATGAATTCAGGAATCAATGGACATCACCTATAGGCCTGAATGTGTCCATTTTCAGCAACATTCTTGAAAGTAAAAATTTCATGTGTACTTGTAGGTGTGGTAAGCTGCAAAAACTGTGTCACAGGTGTTTGAAAAGATTTGTAATTTGTATGGTTTTTTTTTATAGCCTGTATCCTGTGGTTATCAAAGAGAAAAACAGAATAGAAAAAAAAGCAGGTCATCAAGTTGCTCTATTTTGGTCACCTTGAAACTAAGAGAGCTTGGAGGTTCCTGAAAAACACCAAAAACTACAGAGAACCATGATAAACAAATGATACATTTTAAAATCCTAATATTGCTCAATTTTTCAATATGGTTAGAACAATTGAAAGCTGTGGGAACATACATATAGAGTTAATACTGCAATTTGGAAAGAAGAGTGACAGTTTCTGCAGAAGACTGCAATATTGAGATAACACTGTCTTGTTGCAGTAAAATAGCTAAGGGATTACTTAGAATTGGCTATGTATCCAGTAAACTTGGTTTATATTCTCAAAGGGCTTTCAATTCCCTATGTCATCTTCTGAGTCAAGATAGATTTTATTATTCCTTCTTGGTGGATTTGTTGGGGGGAGATTGAAAAGCTGTTAAACCAGAAGTGGTTTTGTTCCTGACAAAATATCACTGAAGACTCTGAACAAGTAAAAATCAGTATAAAAATATGTAACAGTTGAGACACTAGCAGTTTAAAAAATACAACTAAATGATTTTTTTGTGTGTGTTGAAAACCATGCTGTATGGTAGACAGGTAGAAATTATGTATGAGAAAATACATCTTTGTTTGCACAGGTATGGTTTTAATGTCCAGGGACATTCTCCTTGCCAGATTTTGGCTCATCAGGTAGAATATTTTGATCCTCTTTGAGTGGTTTCCCCAGATAGGATCACAGAAGAAACCTCCGTGGAATACCAATGCTGTGGAGAACATGTGGCTTTATGGACCCTTTTCTTTCATCTGCTGAATCTAGAGAGTAAAATCATTTGCATTTCATGGCTAGATCTGAAATTAATTCTCTGACAGTATTCAGATTAGTAGAGTGATGACTAAAGAAACACATAGACTCAGTGGAATTAATTGGAATTAATGTTTATGTCCAAACCTAAACTTATCGTAGGTACCTTTACTGTCAGGTGGAGAGAGACCTTTCTGGGTCACAGATTATCTTGTCCTAAACAAAACATATAAATCAGGTCATATAAACTGCACTGTAACTTCTGTGGGTGGCTTCTGACTGTGTAAATAAGATGTTGAGGAATAGGTGAGAAGAGCTCCACCCACTGTGAACGCCCAAGTGAGCTCGTCTCTGATGGAAAAGTTTTGGTGAAGCTTTTCCTGTTTGTAACAGCATAGTTAGCTGATTTACCAAAATCACTGTGTTTTGGTTTGAAGAGTCAATTACAATCAGGAGTAATGAACATGAGTGAGTAAGAACCTGTGTAGCTTGAGAAAGGGCTACAACGCAAAGAGGGTGAGCAGAATATATAAATACATTTGTTTGGGGAGCTTAAAAAGCAGAAAATAAACAACCCAAGACTTGGTCTAAGTTCATCATAAAAATGATGTCTTAATAGCTTTTCTGAATCTTGTACACTCAAAAGGTCTGTTAAGAATCGTGTTTAAGCTGAAGCAGGGATGCTTTTCCATTTAAGCTGCTTTGTCCTCTTGGCCTTTCTCATTGAAACAATTCTTGATTAGTTGCAGTTCTGGAAGAAATTTACTTTCCTTTTTTTGGAGGCAGAAAGAGTAAAACATATTTATGAAGATGTGACTGACATTGGAGGGTAGTTCTCTGTGATTGCTGCTTTTCCTTTGTCCCTGCTTATTCAGAAAACAAATGAGAGCTTTATGCACTAATTGCAAAATCTCACCCATTAACTGACAGAATCTCACCCACTAACTGACAGCAACATATGGCTTTCTCTTAAGCTCTGACTTTGCCAAACAAAAGTCCTCCAAGTTCCTTTCCCTAGGTAGTCATTTATTTGGATATATCAAAGAGTGAAATAACTGTTTGATATCAGCTATAATCTGATTCATTCAAGGATTATATGGATAGAACGTAGTAGATATCTAAATAGCAATGAGCAGCTCCTAGATATTCAAAATAGGTGTTTTTGGAGCATATTTGTGTGATCTTTTATAGACACTGCAGGGAACGTGATGACTGCTGCATAAGTGATAGTTCCTGACTCTTTCAGTCAGCCTGGGGCGCTCAGCTGTTATAGATCTCTACAGATCTCTGATCAGTGCAGATTCAGAGACAAAGAGATGCATCCTTTCCAAAGTACCTTGTTTTGCAGACATGCTTGAATACATAAATGATGCTGTAATTCATGAGACTTGTGGAGTTTAGAAATATTTCAGAAATACCATAGAATTCCAAAATATTCCAAAATACCTGCAGAGTATCAAACAATTAATAATCGATTAATATTGCTTTGTGAACAATACCAGACTTGCCAATATTATTTCTAATTCTACAAATATATTTTTCTGTCATGGCTTTTAAATTTAGCAGCACATAGCAAATTAAACCTGCAAAATCTTTAGCTGATTTAAGGCCCAAAATTCTTTGATACTCTCATGTAACTATGAATGATGTCACAGACTGTTGAATCCTTGTTCAGGTCAATGTAGCATATCTTGTCATGTTTCATAACTGTATTGTCAAATGTTTTGTGATAGTGCAGTTAGTTTAGGTAGCCTGTTTGGTTAAAGGAAATCACATTTATTTGGGAGTGGGAAAATGATGAAGGGGAATAAAAACAATTGGATCACTTTAGATGTACTTTTTACCTAACAGATGTATTTGAGAATTTATTTGTGTTTTGTATCTCACCAAGCTGTATTATTTTAAAAAGCTCCTGAAATTGATTTTGCTATATATTTTTTTTCTTAGCAATGGAAAACAAAATTTCACAGTTCAAAAGTGGACCTTGAACGTACTTGAAATAAATAAAAGCAGCTGTTTCAATGAAAATCATTTAACTACAGAAATTAAAAGTGCTGGAACTGGTCATTCACTGAAATGCAATGATTTGTCTGTCTATGAAAATGACAGTGTAACATGGTACAAGGTAATTACTGAAATAGTGTTACTCTAATCATTGGCTGTAGAAACATCTGATTGCAGGAAATATTAATTGCAAAAAAAATTTTAGAAGCATATACCAACATCATAAAGCTTTAATTTATCATGGGATTAAGGGGAAAAAATATTAGACAGATACACAAAGCAAAGCTTTTTTTCTGCTCTCAGATATATTAAAAAAATATACCTGTTTCAGAAGTTACTAAACTAGTAGTTTGGAATGATACAAGATCTGATGTGCATGTCTGTTCACTGATTTAGGCAGCAGCTGGTTTAGCCAGCTGCTACTTTGCTGATACGGATATTGTACTGATGCTAAATGAGATGCCAAGATTTTTATTTTACAGTTGTCATGTACTTGTAAAGTAATTGCAAACTTTTCAATTTTGCTGTTTCTGAATAGTTTTTAAGTGTGTAACAGATCCAGTTCTGTTCATTTTTGGCAAGTCATCTTTTTGAGGAGTGCTCCTTGGTTGGAGTAACAGACCCTGTTCACTCCAAGATCACTCAGTTTCAGGAAGGGATGTTGACTGGTTTAGTGCAGGCTTCTGGAGTAGCCTGGCAAGAATGAGCTACAGCCCTGTTCTCTTGTCTTTCAGGGCCTGGGAGGATAGAACCATTGATGGATAGGGCCATAGGTTGTTATGTTTTCCTCTATTGCACTGTTCCCAACTTCTAATGGGTTAAATGTTCAAATGTTCCGTTTATATGACCATGAGTGAAAATTGGACCTGCACCTCTTTTGGGTCAGTCAAAATTTCGACATGTGTTTGAGATAGTGAAAAGGTGATGGTGACACTTTGTTTAAAAAAATTTTTAAAATTTCTTTAATGTTTTAAATGCATGTTTGCTACAGAACAATATTTTCTGATTTTATTGATGCAGGACTGTAAGAATTATGAACATGCAACAGAGAGGGAACTAAATTTTAGAACCTTAACAGTACAGAACTCTGGGATATATACCTGTAAAATTTTAATCAGTCATGAAGGAAAGATATACCACAGCACAAATACAATTAAACTTGTAGTAGAAGAAGGTAAGAAAGCTTTCTAAAATTTTGAAGCATACTTTGATCATGATCTGAGCTATTTCCAAATAATTTTAGAAGTAGAAAAGGAGAAGTTAAGATGAAATATTACTAATTTTGGAAAATTCATTTAGTATATTTTCCCTAGTTTTATTCTTTTTTTTTTTTTTCAAAATAGCTGCTCTAAGTAAGTCATACAAACTTTTAAAAAGTTCTGCATGAGAGCCTTTCCAACCATTGCAAATTGTACTCTGTATGTATATATGTATGTGAAAAAAATTCAACAAGACATATTGGGTTTTAAGCTACTTAGTAATGCCAGAATCCAAACATTTTTCTGTGAATTAAATGGAATGCTTGTGATTAACTTTATATACAGACCAATTATATAACTTTTTCTGTGGAAGAATGTAAGTAAGCATTAATATTAATAGCAATACTTCTATTTTTAGATGCATCAGAGGCTGTCACTTTGGAGATAGTTGGACATCATGAAGAAATTGAAACAGAAATAGGTATGAAAAAAATCTTTGAGGTAGCTACTCTATCTGTGTGCTTTTGTTCTGATTTCTTTATGGTTAATGGTCTGGATAAGTGTAATTAAGCTAAGAATTGTCTGTGCATCATCCTGTATGTGATCTAACCTCACATCTGGTAATGTTTTGCTGAGTGTATTACATGATTGATACACAAGTGCACTAAATGTACCCTTTCATAGAGGCAGAAGCTGAGGTTGCTGCTACATCTGGCAAGAGAAAGTGGTGATGGTGATAAAACATCTCTCCATGGCTTTCTTTTGTAGATAGCAAACCCCATGAAGCAATGTGTAAAAGATGCATGGTTTACTCAGTGAACAGCTGATGTGGCTGAGAATGTTATTCCTCATAGAAATGAGGAGAGTGAGGTGTGACAGTCCTGGCAATATGTGCATAAACATCTGTATTGTCAAGAGACCTTACCTATGCTTCTAGCTGGAAGTAGAATAAAATGATCTGTAGATCTGAAGTAGATAAAATGATCTGCAGGCTTCACGCAGTCTTGGACAGGACCCAGGATTTTGTGATTGAGGCTGTAATTAATTTTTAAAAATAGAAATTTACCTCTCCCTCCCCTCTTCAAAGAAATCTCACATTCCAGATCTGCAGTATTCTGCCCTTATTTTTTCCAAGTGTACGGCTGTCCTTTTAGTTTTGCAATTTCTTAGAACTATTGGTACTTTATGGGGTGGTTCCTGTCTGTTACAGTTAGTGCTTTGAAATGGGACAGGTAGATGACTGAGTAAATGACTTTTTCATGTATTCAGGAATTTCCACTTGTGATAATGAGATAAGAATTTGTTCTGTTCATGTTCAGCAGGTGCTTTGGTTTTGTTGAGTAATCATATATAATTTCCCTATTATAATTAGCTGGTTGTAATTCCCCTTACCAGTTACTTACGTTCACCTGGCCCTGGAGCACTGGTGATAGGTATTCCTCTTCTGTTCCCAGCCTTCAGAATACAGTCTAGTTTATAGAATATCAGAATATCTCAAGTAGAAGGGTCCCATAAGGATCATCAAGTCCAAATCCCTTTAGTTCTCTAAAGCCTGAAGTTCTCAGGTCTATTTAAACCCACCTGGCTGTGATGATTCATCTGAAAAAAAGCAAATAATGACTGTCACTTTGCAACAGTGCATGACTGCCGAAGCCCTCACCAGTGCAGGTGTAACACCTATAAAACATTGAGCAAGGGCTATGAAATTCAGAAAGGAACACAGTTTATAGGATATGTTTCCTGGAAAGCTGTGTTTCTGCACTGTGTACATGAGTACTACTTCTCACTAAATCTTCCCATGTTATGCTTTCTTTGTAGGTAAAGAGGAGATACTCAATTGCACAGGTTTCTTGGGTTATTATATGCAAGAAGATGCCAGTCTCTACTGGTTAATTAACCAAACATTTCCAGAACCATGCACAGGTATCCCTGAGAATGAACCTTCAATATGTGAAGAAGAACTCAAAAAACTACAGTAGGTTTCCAGAAAATGCTGCATTTTGTATGAGATGATGTCCTACTTTGTTGAACTGCAAATTCAGTAAAAACCACAGTCTGAGGTTTTTCTCTAGAACCTTTTCCTCAAAATCTGCCTCTCCGGTTGTTGTAGGTTTCTGTACAGATAGTGCTGCTAACACCATTCCTTGTTGCAGGTTGGGAAACAAGTTCTATATTACAAGGCTACTACGGATCAAAAAAATAAGAGAGAAGGACTTGCATCATAATTTCACCTGCATGTTGCAAGCTGATGAAAGCACACAGATAAGAATAGTAAAACTGAAGACAGGTATGGCATAATCTAGAAATAATGTATTAATCAGCCTTCTCAATCTTGAGGGCATTTCAAAACATTGCTTCAAATATGTCTGTCTGCTTATGAAGGCTCTCACACATCCAGTGCTGGACCTAACAGCCCCTGGGTGATTCCTCTTGCTCTCAGACAGGGGACAGAAGGAGTGCAAAGCAAAAGGAATACAGACTACAATGAGCATGTCATGAGAGTGCCTTCATAAAAACTACACAGAGTTTAAAGTGTTCAAAGTATGTATTTGGAACTAAAAAACCCAAAGATAAATAATAATAATAACAATAATAATAATAATGAAGAAAAGCCTGAAAGAGACAAGAGGAAAAAAAAGTTAAAAATAGTTCAGCCAAGGAGATGAAATGGGACATTAAGGACTTATGGATAGGACAGAGAGAGGGGTAAAAGATAGATAATAAGAGGAAATAATAAAAAACCTGAAGGAAACTCATCACAAGAGGGAATGACCATCATTCTGGGATGCTGTAAATTTATCTGTAATGTCAGTGCTGAGCTCACATACCCTGCACACACATAAATGAGCTGTATGTGATTGCATCCAAGATTGTTTCTCCTGTTTTTTCAGTAAAACATGTTTTGTAGCTTATCTCAGGACCAGTGGCATGCATATTGCTTGAAGCATTAGCAGGAAAGGATTCCCATCAATACTCATGATGATTTTTTTGAGGTGATTTTTAGGTGCCATCAGTATTTGATACAGTAATCTTGTCATATAATTCTGTTTTTTAAGGCTATAATTTGCTTTGTTTCTCTTTTACAGGGAAGACTCAAGACCTGCCTGTGCACATATTTACCACTGGAATGGTCCTTGCTCTGCTATTTCCATTTGTTGCTGTAGCTGTGGTGTTTGTGTTTGTGATATTTAGGGTCGACTTTGTTCTATTTTACAGATATGTATGCAGGAGAGATGATACTGCTGGAGGTATGACTTTGCTAATGCTGACATTGAAATAAGCATATTGATGAAAAATACTTTCTGGCAGGTTCTATGAAATAATCATATTTGAGGAAGATAAAAAAATCTTAAATCCAGGAGCAGTGTGAGAAGAAACAAGTAATATATAAAAGAGATCTTGATGGTCAGGTGCCAATGTGTGCTATATATGTGTGGCAATGACAGCAGATAAACACAGCGAAGAATCTGCCTCTGGAGCAAGCCATGGAAGGGATGTGGTTGGATGCTGTTCAGATGAGCTCGATTCTGCCATATTCTTCATCACAAAAGTTGGTGGGGAGGGATAGGTTTGCAGTTGTCTATTCATGAAGAGGATAACAGTTATCAGATGGAGAGACTGGCACAAATTTTTTTTCACCTCACTGATGCTCTTCAGTAAGGTGAAACTTAAAATGTTTCCTTGACTGTAGAGGCCATTGCTGTTTATAGGTTTGTCACTACATGCACATGAGGAGAGCAGGAGTGCACATTACCAGTATCTTACCAGGCAGCAGCTCTGTGGCCTTCATAGCAAGCAAACCTGACCATTACTCATATTTAGGAATTTTTTTTCTGAAAATTTTGGTGATAAATCTTGCTGTATATATAGGTCTGATCTTGGCCTTCCTTGGTCTCTAAATCAGTCTGAATATAATGTGAATGAACTGCAATGGTTGGAGATTTTTCATTAATGGATGGATGTCATTTATGCCTGCCACTATTATTACCTACTTGTTGATACCATCTGCCACAGTGTACTCTGGCTTACACTCACTCAGGGAGGATCTCTGAGGACCTCTGGACTACGCTACCCTGGAGGAGCTGCCTGCTGGATACTAAGCAATGGATTTCTTACTCTTAGAGCTCTTGAACATGTAGGGTTTTGTAGAGTTTACTTTGTGCTCTGTCTTATGAACTACATGCAGTAAAGTGTTCAGAAAGGATAGCAAAGTACAGTTTAAGAAGCAAAGCCACTTGTGCTGGTGTATCAGTCCTGATAGTTGCTCTGTGGCAGTGTGGTGGACCTGGCCTCTGGATTGGTCTTTGATTTTCTGTTTGTAAATTAGTCCCCAAAACCATGATCAGACATGGCTTACTGTCATAACAAAAATAATTAACTGGTTTGTTCTGTCTTTTGCCAGTTTCCATTCCGCTTGATACTCTTAGACATGGTGTACAATAATGTTGAAATCTGCAGTATCACTTAAATAACAATTTTTTTAGGTTACAGACACATTTTTTTTGCTTCCCTTCATAACTTGACCTAATGTGACATTAATTGGTTAAATTAATCTAATTTTATTTAAAAAGTACTTTAATGTAGAAAGGAAATATTTTCAAGTATTTCCCAAATGCAGAGTCTTTTGTATCAACTTTACATTTCTTCAGAACATTTTTTGATTCTGATGAAGAGTGTTTGAAGACTGTTCAGAGTCTTCAGAAGAAGATGAAGAAGATCAGGGGTTTCTAGATGATTTACTATTGAGACACTAAGTTTGAAAACCACAATGGCAAATTAGATACTGGATTTCTAATGGCTGATAACAAGACAACAATTGTTGATTTATTTTCAGATGGAAAAGAATATGATGCATTTGTGTCTTACCTGAAAGACTGTGTCTCTCCTATTGATGAAGAGAGAGAATTTGCTTTGAAGATACTGCCCATGATATTAGAAGAAAACTTTGGGTACAAGTTATGTATATTTGAGAGGGACATATTCCCCGGAGGAGGTAGGTATATTGAATATTCTTGTCATTAAATAGGCTCATAGTTTCACACAAAGGTAAAAGTCTATAATTAGACAGAATTCTGTCACGTGTTGTGAATTGAAAGGATACATGTTTCATTTAATCTGGACTGTGCATGCAAAGTTTGGTTGCAAGCATTTTACATGCTTCATAGTTATATTTATGAATTCATATACACTTACACACACATGGACATGTATATCACTAATTACAAAGAACTAAGAAGAAAAGATCAAAGAGCATTGAGAAGCTTAAGGTGAGGACACAGAAGATATCAGATATTTCTCAGTAATAGTGCTTTTGCTCTGATTTTTCTGAGGGCCAGTGAATGAAGTCACATTTACTGCGCAGAGAAGCTGGTGACTCTGGCACTAATTATTCTTAGGTAACTTGTATGTTTGCTATACCTTCAGTGTGGTGGTTGAAACCACTTTCTAAATGAAATGGGTGCCATAACGAAATAGAAATAAGGAATTTTGTTTGGCCCAGGGTGTATCTGGCATCAGCCTTTTGCTTGGATGAAAGGTACTATGAGTTTTCATTTAGTCCAGAGATCCAGCTGAGGAATAGAATTTCATTGTCCAAACCATAGAACAATAAGATCAGTCAGCCTCCCTCACTAAGCAGGATCTTGTCTCTTTATATCTATTCCTGATAAATTTTTTCTAACCAGAGAGGAGCCACAGCTCTTCCAGGCCCATTTTTCTTACCTATTTTCTTTCTTTAAGTATTAAAAAATTGTTTACTGAAGTGTGCCGTCTGATTCTTTCAAGAGTTTAGCTTATTTCCTTTTCTCTGGTCTTATCCATTGTGAACACATAAAATAGAATATTTCCTTCTTTGTACAGGAGCCTTTGGTGTTGTAATACCCTTGTCAGCCTCTTATTACCCTCAGTTTTCTCTTCATTTGGTTAATTCTGCAGTTTTCTTTGCCTTTCTCTACAAGTAATGTTTTCTAGATGTCTGGTTTATGTAGACTTTGTCCCATGGTGTTAAAACAAGCACTGGAAGCTGCGCATGAAAATTCAATTTGATATTTAAAGGGTATCACCATTCACTTTCATTCATCAGTTTTCATGCCAGAAGTCCTCAATCTAAAACACAGTTGGAACTCCTTCTGTCAGCACATGCTGGTCTTCTCAACACTGGATTACTGGAAATAGATTTGGGTGTTTGGTGTCATAAAGGAAGGTGTAACCCCAGGGTTACAGAATACTTGGAGAGAGGTTGCTGTTTGTGCCCTTCTGTGGAATCACTCCAGTGGTATTTATTAGGAAAGAGCAAAGAGATGTCTGGTTGGGGGAGTTATTTTTGCTGTCACCTTTTGTCCACGTGACTACATGTGAATACAGCAGTCTAGGGTAGATGGAGATTATCAGCAGGTTTATGTCTGCTCTAGAGAACAAGCTTTGACCATAACGGAGTTAATTTTCAGAGACTCTTAATCTCTAATACATATTAATCTCTTCATAAGGACAGGATGCTTACATACTGTCACTTTATAAGAGGGACATTTTAGATCCATATGTGAATTTAAAAGATAAGTTGATTCGGTGCCTATCCTTTCAATTTAATATAACAAAAGATTTATCTTTAATTTGCAGCATTTGTTGATGATATCCATTCATTCATTGATAAAAGCAGAAGATTAATCATTATACTGAGCCAGAACTACGTTTCTGACAGAGCCATATACGAACTTGAGAGTGGACTGCATAAAGCTCTAGTTGAAAGGAAAACTAAGATCATATTAATTGAATATATGCCTATAAGTGACTACAATTTCTTGCCAGAATCACTGTCACTTTTACCATCAAGGAGGGTGGTGAAGTGGAAAAAAGAGAAATCTCTTCCTGTGAATTCCAGATTTTGGAAGAACCTTCGGTACCTGATGCCAGCAAAGCCTATCAAGATAAAGACCAAAGGGCACTATAATAATCTTGACCTAGGCTCAGAAGCTGCCCGACCCTGGATTGAGGGCTGTGACTTTAATGCAATTATATAACAATTCTGGAGAAAGAAGGTGTAGCAGAAAACAATATGTTTTGTTAATTAATAAAATGAAATAAATGAATATTTTGGGTAATAATGTTGATTGAGAGGCCAGCTCTGAGATCTGAGGAGAATGCAGAAGTTACTGCAGTGGGCAGGATGATGTTAACCCCAATTGCTAAATCCTATCTCAGAGAAGGTTTCCTCAGCAATCTGTGCAAGGAGCAGAAGTTTCATTCCGCTTAGGACCTGAAACATGGCGTGAAGCACAATGAAAAACATTTTTATTTCACAGTTTTCAGTGATGGAGAATGATATTATTTTTACTTGCATATACTTTTTAGGCCCTTCAATAAATAAATCAGTACTTGCAATCTCCTATTATTATTTAGATGTTGTTTGTTTTGTATTTTGGTATTTTCTAAGGATTCTGATTGTAAGTAGACCCAAACAGCTCCTGCATTAAAGAGCTTGGCATGCAGCTTTGGCAACATCAAGTAGAAAAAATCCCAAACCAACAGAGAAAAAGGAGGTTAGAAAAAGTAGAGCAGTTTTGGATGGTTTAACAGTATTTACTACTGAATTGTACATGGTTTGCAATGGGGAATCATTTGAAAAAATGGTAAAGACTGTTTATATCCCATTTCACTGGAAAGATTGCAAGCGCTCATTTTAACAGGGAGAAGAGGGGGATGGGATAGAAATAATGGCACGTTTTTCATGGGTGCTGATACCACGCTGGAACCAATTGCCCAGAGAGGTCGTGGAGTCTCCTTTGCTGGAGGTATTCAAGAACTGACTCATAATTCTGTGCAATGTGCTCTGGGATGGCTCAGATGACATCAGACCAGATGTCCTACTGCGGTGCTTTCCAGCCTGACCCATTCTGTAATTCTGTGATTCTGTTATACCCTGAGCTGCCTTCAGCTGTTGCATGTAGGGGACTTAGGTGAAAATGACATCTTTGGTGTGTATATACACTCCTAACCCTTTGGGGCTCTTGTCTGAATATTATTTTTTAAAACAAAGTTAGTAATACTATTCAAAACTATGCTAATCCACCCTTATTATTAGTTGTCTGACAGAAGACACCAATCTGACATAAATTCCCAGGTAAAATGGAACCATATTTCCTGCTAGAATCAGTGGGGAGAAGTCAAGAGAGAATCATTTTGGAGCATCTTTTGTCAGGTTGCAGGGAGATTATCAAGACTCTGCCCACTCTTATTGTCTTTTATGCCATTACTGCTGCTTTTGAGGAGGCATCTCTTTTACACTGACAATTCACACAGGTGGAGGAGCTCCATTACCTTCTCAGCACACTTGAAAACACTGTTTGAATGTTGGGTGTCATGACTAAGTCTCAAGTTTCATGGGAATGAAAGGTTGTTTGTCAAATATCCTTCAATCATGCATAGTTTCTGGAAGATGTTTAGGTAAAAGAAAAGGCTAAGTATAGATTTCCAAAATGGAGACAACACTATTGCCAGGTTAACAGGTAACAAAAAAAAAATAAGGCTTTATTAAAATTTAATTAAATTAAATAAAATTTAAAAAAAACCATCTGCAGTGACCTTCAGATCAGCTCTAGCAGGTCTCCTTTTTGTCTAACTAAAGAGCTCTGTAAATGTGGTTCATAGGTTAAAGCCATCCTCTGGTGTAAGCTTTTACTGAAGAGGATTTCTCCTCTGCAGGTGTGTTCCTCTACATTTCTAAATCTCAAATCTTTCACAATGTTCATTTATTCTCTATCAGTGTTTCTGGTATTTTCTAGTCACAGATAATTTTTAACATTCTCTATCAGCACAGAAATGCAGTCAGACATACTAGGCACATCCATTTTCCAGCCAAACATCTTACCTAATATTTAATTGAGGTATTAAACTTTCTCCTCAGCCATGTAGTTTTTCATATACTGTCATCAATGTATTGCCTAAAAATTTAAAAGTCAAATGTGTTCTACTACACATATGACTATGGATAGTGCACCTGGTTTGTTAATAGCTCTGGACCAAGCCTACCCTCTATGAGAATCAGCTACTCTAAACTGAAATTGAATTTGCCATGGATGCTCCCCTCACCTCAGTTAGGAGAGACAATGTGACTGCATGTATGTGCTACAGCTCATGAAGATGTACCCTAAAGCCTGTGACACCACACAGAATTTGACTGCCCTGAGATTTTACAGAATAACAGAGGATTATATGTAAGGAAGGCTGAAAGCTAAATGGCATTAACTCCCAAGTTGTTTGAATGCCAGCAAAGCGGACATGTGTTGAATGACTCAACATCTGTAAAAAAGGAAGTATTTTTGCACAGAAAGTTATCACAACACAGGCACTTTATAGATGATCCTCACTGCCTGTGATGCAGTGGTAAGGGGGATAAGGGGAATTAAGGATATGCATACTCATACTAATTCCAGATGTTGTTCTTACTGCTCTTATATCCTGAATTACACACGTTAATCAGACCTTGGAAATATCTGCTTTTTTTTTTTAATCGGTCCATAGACAAAAGGAACTGCTAATATTACTTTTATAGATTGTAGTTGTGATAATTTGCCTAATCACGTATATGTCAATGTATAAGTGAATTCACATGATAGCTGGTTTGAGATAATGGGTCATTTGGTTTGAGGTAATAGATCATTTCAGTGATTTACACTGTTCACTTTTGAACTTATTTGCACTTTATATTTGTTCACTTTTGCACTTCATAAAACAATATTTCTCCTTCTCCACATTCAATTTTTGCTGCAGCTAGACAGAAGTAGTATCATGATTGTTTTGGGGTTGCTTATAGAATCATTGACATATGTATTGGAAAAAGCAGATTTAATATAAAAGTGAAAGGGAGAAAAAGTTCATTGGCAAGATTCACTCTACTACTTACTAGATAGCTAAAGCACACAGGCAAAAATCAGACAAAAACCTAAAATGAATCAATCTAACCCCAAAGTCAACCCAAAAATTATCTATGAGGAGGCTGGAGGGGAAGCAGGGGGAAGAAAAGAGCTAGGGTAGGAAAAGAAAAGGATGAAAAGGAAAAAGGAAGACCCTCCCATTTAGACACAAGGTTCAGAGCTAAACTGAGCCAGTCTTGACCAACAGTTTAGGCCTAAAGGTTTAACAGCACTTAATCAATAGCTTAAGTTACATAATTTAACAAAGGATTAATGAAGAATTTACTACAGCACAATAATAACTCATTTACAGGCCTACATTACAAATTTAATTCTTTTAGGAGAGTAACATTCATAGTACATTTGCCTTTTAGGAGAGTAACACTTGTGGTACATTTGCTATAGCATATTCACACTCGCATGCACGCAGACCTGGAGAAGTGGGTATTAGGTGCACATGTGAAAAATGCCCCTCGAACTCAGTGCTCCCATCAGATGATTTTGCATCTTCTCAGTGGACAATGTTGGAGTCTGAGATGCAGAGTGTGTGCCCTTGTTTCTGATACTTAGTTCTAAGACCCAGAAGAACACTGAATTTCATATAACATGAAATTCATGAGCATGTTTTCATGGTGATATATGAAAACAACTGTTAAAGTTAAATAGAATAGCTAAAAGTGTGAGTGAGTAGATTAGAGAATTTCTTAAGTCATTGGGTGAAAAATTTAGTTTAGAGTTTAAGTTAGTTTAGAAAGCAGAAAGCAAGATGGAGGATTTAGAATGTTTCTTTTCCTCTTTCTTTCTTTCTTTCTTCTTCATGTTCCTCTTCTAGAGGTTTTTGGGTAGTAGTGAGTGATTGGGCAGAAAATGCCGCAGTGCAGCACACAGGTGATGTGTCATTGGGTCATTAAGAAAAATAATATACGTGTCTATTGTTAATTGGGTAAGAATCAGTATCAAGACAAAAGAACTGCGTAGTTTGGGGCCATTTTGTGCTTTCAAACACAGGGTGAGCCACAAGACCTTGTTGTACTATCAGAAAGAAATGTACCAGACTGCAGTGATTTAAACTTGTGCAGCCAGTCTGGAGAGACCTGCCAAGTTTTGTAATGACCTTCTAATAAACATGAGAAACAAGATTCTAATGAGCTCGGGAGTTTTCTTCCAACCAGAGAACTGAGATAAGCGGGACTTCCCACAAGGGAGGATCCCAAAGGAGCTCAGCTCAGAGGAGACTGAGAAATCCAGGAGGAGAAGGAAAAATACAGAAGAAAGCAGCAGAATCAGAGAAAGAGAAAATAGAAACGAAAAAGAATTTTATAGAGAAAAGTTACAAAGGGTTGAGCCTTGAGCAGTGCGGCTGTTGGCCCAGGATCTGCTGCTGTCTAGTGATCCTCCAAGTATAGTAAAGTTGAGATTTCACTGGCTCTGAGAGGAAGGTTGCTGGTTGCAACCCACTGTGGTCGTGGAGAGTTGAAAGGGTCATACTTAGGACTGCTGTTTATAGAGTTGCAAGAGTGTGGGCTTTAGTCATAGTAATTTTCCATCCTAGCCACAGTTCAGGTTGGAAACTTTCTTCAAGAGAGCTCAGTCCAGGTGCTGTTCAAGGTCAAGGCTACTGAACATTTCTCAGCTCATAGTGTGACCTGAGGGATGGGAGGAGAGATGCACCACCACAATAAGTGTCAAAAATCAAGGTCAGGGTATGAAGAAAAAATGCAAGAAAAGCATGTGTGGTTAGACCACAAGCAATGAATGTCTCATTTATAATTTAGGAAGATTAAAACAAAGCCAAATCCAGAAAGCTATTGAAATATGTAATTTCCCTGAGGAAGACACAGATGGGATCTGTAAAGAGACAGCTGTTGGAAGCCACTGGTCTTGAAATTTGTTGTCTCTCTTGCTATGTACTATAACATAGTAACTGGCTGTGAGAACATGGTCTGTGTCTGTATTTTTTTAGTGCTGCTGGTTGACCTCTTTCTACCAGAAACAATACAAGCTGGAAGCAAAAGAGTATCAAAATCTCTTTTTGTCTATTGATAATTGTAACATAAATGTAGGAAGAATTAGGACTATTGTATATAATATCATCGCTGTAGGGCAGTACTGTGTAAGGGCTGATAACTGCATAAGGTTTGTCAGGTAGAGGGCTTTTTTTCTACTTTAAGTACTTCTGTTGCTTCATGACCATCTGCATTTTTTAGAGACACTGGAGAGGTAGAGCTTGTGAAACAGGAGTAAATTCCCCCTCCTAAGCAGCTGTTTCACTCCAAATCCAAGCATAAGGGCAAATCCTATCAATTCCACCACTCTACAGATTGTAATTAAAACAGGAGATTTGCAGAATGGCTGGACAGAGGGAGCCTTAAGATTTGCTGGTTCTATTGCAGAGCGACTGATGATGCCTGCAGAAGCAAGTTGTTACCAGTGTGTTTCCTGAACTGGAACCCAGCAGTTGCAGTCAGCAGTTACAAAACAG